GCTCGAGCCGAGTTTCTTCCAGCTCCGCTCCAGTCTCGCCGTATAAAACACATCGGTGCGTGTCCGCAGCGGCATCCTGGGGCTGTGGGCGTTTGGCAGCCAGTCTGTAAGCAACAAAAGAGTAGATTTTTGTCTGAAAAATTGGGTTTTTAAAACAAAAAACACACTCCCACAATGGAAGAGACAAGCAAAGGAAACATTCCTGAACCAAAGTTTGGATATTAAGGGTTCTTCTTCTTCTTGGAAACACAAGAAAGGTCTGAACGCGGCAGGAAAGTGCAGAAACTCACTTGAACTGGGAGTCTTGTAGTAACTCTTCTTTACAGATGAACTAGTGGTTCTCGAGCTATTTCTCACAATTACTTGTATGTTTCAGTCTTCCAAGCGCTCTCTTCTCTCTGGCCACCAATGCCAGGAGCAGAGGAAATGGCAGGAAGATGTGGCAGGACAAGTTTAGCTTGGCCATGAGGAAAAGGTTCTTGAGGCAGAGGGTGGTGGAGCACTGGCACAGGCTCCCCAGGGAGGTGCTCATGGCACCAAGCCTGACAAGATGCCAGAAGCATTTGGCCAACATGTGCCCTCAGGGACATGGTCTGAATGTTGGGCTTGTCCTGTGCAGGGACAGGAGTTGGACTCCATGATCCTTGTGGGTCCCTTCCCACTCACAACATTCTGTGATTCTAAGATGCTGCAGTTCTTGCACTTCAGGCACCCGTTAACTACACTGCAATCTTGGCAGAGGATGGTCACATTTTTGCTAAATATGTCTTCTTCACTGCTCAGCCGCTTGGTTTGCTGTTCGAAATATAACACAATGCAACTAAAATACTGTGTTCTTGGGATTACAATTCAAACAAATTGGGCAAGGAGCATCACAGTAGGAAGTTAAATAATTAAACTTTATGAGGAGGGACAGCTTTAAATGGTTTGTTTAATTACGTTCTAAAGAAAGTGAGAGTTTGATAAGGCTGAAAAAAATCTCTCCCATAAAAGCCTCTACTAAAGGCAGAATGTTTAATGTAAACTCTGACAGTGACATGTTGGTTTGTACTTTGATTTGGAAGTAGATAAACTTATTCATCAGATGACTTTGGATGTTGGATTTGCTGGTACCCAGTACTTTGGCTCACATAACATACGGGCTGCTGGGCAGCTTTTGATCTAAATGCAGTTACCTGACATGTTTTTCTTAGTCTTTGTAGTATGCTTTTTCTGTTGTTTTTTTATCTAAAAGTGGGAACTTTGACATTCTTAGTCCTTCACACTTGTGCTGACCTGTTAGCTAAATGGAATACTAGTTTAACTACACAGTTTTCCTATTTCTGAGCTTGTGGGCATGTTGGTTTTGCCTCACTTCAGTGAGTGTAGAGTTCAAGCTGGCAAATATAATGTCTGGAACAACTTCTAAATGTTGTTAATACAACATATAAAATACATGTGGTACGTTCCATACCTATTTCAGAGATAGGTTTTTTTTGTCCTTTGCTAGTTCAGGAAACGCAGTCTCTCCAAACTAGCCTTACACAATGTGATTTGCCTCCCTACCGTGATTTTCCCAGCAGTGTTGAGTGCCCTTTCTTCCTAGAGTGGCATGTTTTGGAAATTGTTTATCTTATTTGCCACCTCCCACCCACCCACCTTCCCTTGGGGTTCTGTATAGTATGGGAGAAGAATCATTCTGTGATGACATTCAGGCACTGAAAATGTTACACTTTTGTCAGTGCATTGTTCATTGAGTTGTTAGTTTTTTGCTTTTCAGCAGAACTAGCTAAAAATTCTTGTGTAGTTCTCAAAGTTGGCTTTCTGGATACTTGCTTGTGGGTGGAGGCACCGAACTCTACTGCATGTGAGGTTTTTTTGTGGGTTTTTTTGATTCTTCAAAGCCTAATTTGGATACTTGCAATAGTTGTAATCATCTTGCTCTCCTATTTAGGAACTTCTCTGTTCTTCACACACTAAGGTCTCTTGTGGAGAAGAGATTCTCAGGTGCCCATATACAATGGAATATAAATATTTAAAGAGTATCTGTTGTCTCTGCTGTGGAAGAAATCTAACCTGTTTCTGACATTGAATGATGGCATATCCACACAAAAGCATCCTTGAATACAGCAGCTTCATAAGATCAGGAGGAGTTCTCAGTTCCTACATGTATAAATTATCTAAACCATCATAATTTATTATGGACAATTTATTAGGGATAATTTATTTAAGGGCAGTTCCTATTTTTTTTTTCCACTTTCATTGGGAAAGATAACAACTTTGGAAGGTTATTGTATTTAATTATTCAGTTTTCTGCATCATTTGAAATGACTGTAGTTTGAGTTTAGTTGTCATTTAAAATATGAAAGGAATTTCTTTGTGTGTGGGTTTGGTTTTTTTTAAAAAAAAGGAATTTTGAGAAACAAACTTTAGGAAACTTGCTGTGGTAATTCAAAGTGTCACTACTCTCAGTTAATCTGCTGATGGAGGCAAGTTAGCAGTAGGGAATGTCTACATCTCAGCTGCTCTGATCTGAATCCAGTTTGGTTGTTTGGTTGGGTTTTTTTAGCTTAAGCTGCTGATCATAATGGGAGCTAAGATGATATGAGCCTGTGAGCTAAGGTGATAGTGCACATTCCTTCTGCAAGTGTTGTGATAATCTCTGGAGGAGAGGTTGGTATGTCATTAACCACCCTCCCCTGTCCCATGACATGCACACAGATACAATTCCCCTACTCCATAGCCCCTCCACCCACATGCACCTGCCCCAGGTAGGAGCAGTTGATGAATTGGGCCCCATCTCTGAAGCTGGTCACTCAGGACAGGATAGTTGGGTGCCACAAGACCCACTTGGGTTGAATCACTGCCTCACTCACCTGGTTCCTCACGAGGCTCATCCTCCTTTGATTCAAGTTGACCTTGGCCAACAGCTAAAGGCACACCCAGCGATTTGCAGGATGGGGAGAAGATAGAAGGAAGGTGAGAAGACTTGTGGATTGAGATAATGGCAATTGAATGGGGAAAGCAAAAGCTGCATGCTCAAGCAGAGTATTCAATCACTACTTCCCATCAGTGGGCAGATGTTCAGCCACTTTCTCGAAAGCAGGGCATCAGCAGCTTAGCAGCAACCATGAACATTCCCCTTCCTTTTCTATTCCTTGAGCTGTTTCTTCTGGAGCACGACATCATGCAGTGTGGAATATCCCCCTGTGAGGTGGGGCTGGCTGTCATGGCTGTGTCCCCTCCCAACCTCTTGCCCACCAAAAGCAAGAAAGCCTCAATGCTATGCAAGCACTGTCCAGCAACAGCCAAAATGTTTGTGTGTTGTCAGCAGGCTCTTAGCCAAAATTACAAAGCACAGCACCATACAGGCTGCTGCAAAGAAACCAGCAGCCAGACCCAGTACGTCATCCTCCTAGGGAGGCTGTGGATTTGAACTCATGAGATAAAATCACCCAAAGCTTGCTGGTGAAAGGCCTTTACCTGGACAGTTACTGTTGTTCATGGTAGAACTGCTGTAACTGAATAACTAAGGGAGTTTTTAAAGCTTTTGCATCTTTGTGGTTTGTGTAAGCTTTAGGTTTTCATAGCTCTGTGTGCCCACAAAGAAATAAACATGCACGTGATCACAGTCATTCTCTATTGTTTGCTCCACAGAGCAACATCAGAAAGAGGAATATTCTCTTTCTCTTTCTTGAAAAGTAGAAAGTGGGATTGTAAAATGATGGAATTATTTGATACTTCTATTTAATTTAGTGGCAATTAACTTGCCAGTTCCTGAAAGTACTCGCTAGAGAACTCAGTTGCCTTGTTGTGGGATCTTTCTGTGTAAAATAAATTGACAGTTAAATGAATACGCCTAACAGGTAGGACAGTCTTTGTTTTCTTTTAATGTCTTAACCTATTATGTTCTTACAAGCCTTACTCATGCTTGAAATTGGTCCTTATTCTCTGTCAATCAGCAGAGCTGTGGGATGTGTTAGCGAGGCAAGCACTGGAATTTCATAGCTTCAGGTGTCTTAATTGCTCTAACTTGCAGGTTTCTTTATGTGCAGTGGTCTGGCATTATTATTCTGTACGAGTCCTGTGTTGTTGTTGCTCAGATAAGTAAAATGGGGGCAGGTGAAGTGTGAGAAGATGGAGAAGTGGAAGACAGTGCAGCTCTCATGGGGCTGACTGACTATGACACTGATGATAAGAAATGACTTGCTTTGCTTCTACACAGGGGCTAAATATGCATTTCTTCTTCTGTGTTGATTTATTTTTGTTTTGTTTTGTTTTGTTAGAAGTGACAAGACAACATCTGAGCCTCTACAGTCCCTCTGCCAGTCTTCTTGGGTTGTTCTGGCCTGTCCACATTGTTTCTGTAGCTTCCATGGCTCTGGATGGCTAGTGAGGAGGGATGTTCAGTCTAATGGCCAATTGCTGCAGCTGGTTAAAACGGTGGCAGGAACCTGTCAGGTAAACATGTGAAAGTATTTTACATTTCTGTGCTGACCTTCCCAAGCTCTCTTTCATGTCCTTTCACATATGTTTTACTTTATTTGCTCTATAACATTCTTTCATATTTTTTAATTCAGAGACAAAATCCATCTTCTTTTTTTTTTCCTCCAAGAGAGAATCCCTACATCTTCTGAATTTAAAAATGAAATGTTAATTACCTGTAATTTGAGTATTTTGTTTCTAACTCCAGAAAAGTATAAAGTTCAAAAATATTGTCCTTCGCATTGTTTCCTCAAGTGGCACATTAGGGGTTGATGCTAGAATGTTTATGTAAAGTTTATTTGGATTTTATCATATTGATTTAGTTTTTGCATTTTGAGGTTATGAAGTGTAACTTATGACACCATTTTATTGTCAAGAGTAGACTGTAGCCCCAGTGTAATACTAGTTTTCTTATGATTATCTAAGTATCTTAATACTGCATTTTGTGGGTAGCCTGGTGATCCATTCTCACTTATTTATTCTCTCTTTTCAAACAAACTCTTCTCATTTGTTTCTGTTACTTTTACTTTGACATCCTGCATCCTTTTCCCTCCAATTAGCAGAGGTGCACAGATAGTTTGTTTCAAACTATTTACAAACTACAGAGAAGGGAAATAAGGGGTGTACCAAATTTATTTCTACTTCATGCTCATGTAGGAGGATTTGCTGTTTTCTTCAGCGCTGCCTACTTTAGGTTTTACAGAAGGTGCTGCTTTTCAAAGAACTATATTGGGTTGAATAGCTTTCTGACACCACCAATAGACAATTTATATATGTTTATAAATGTTCTTGGCTGTGAATTTAGTTTACTGTTAAAGTATAATTATTATGATCTTATTGTTACTTTTTAGGTTCTTTTCTCAGAGCTTTTTGGCTTTTCTGAAAGAATTTGTGTAAATTATACTTCATGTGTGATGCTGTTGTAGTTTTAAGACTGGAAGTCACAACATTTTAGTATTCCTTCACTTAAAGGGGCATAAAATTGAGCAAATTCTTTTGACTTCTCTGAGTCTTTGTGAACAGAAGGAACAATTGACATATACACATAGATTTTTTTTTTTTTTTCCTATTGCTTTGCTTAAAAGCCTTTCATGGTATAAATTCTAACCTGCACACTAGTTTACTAATATATTGTACCTTCTCAACACCACTGGCTTGCATGTTTTCAGCCTAGATTGCTCCTGCTTGAAACAAAGGCATGATGAGTACCAGTGCTGCTTATTTACAGCATCTGCTGTTGTCTACGCAAATGTTGAATACTGTATAGTGTTGTTCAGATGCATTGCTTGAGGCAGAAATACGTTTCTAGTATAGGCACAACTTTGAAGCAGAGAAGGGGTAAAAATACAGGGGAATGGAAATGAAATTAAATAAATTGTTAAGGAGACCATGACCACACCAAAAAAATTATAAAATTTACAGTACCGTGAAATTAAATTTCAGCAGGGAAATACAAGTTGAAAGCTAAATCATTGTCTCATGTGAAACTTACAGCACAATATTAGACTTCTCATTTCATACTTTGTTCTGCTGTTCTACCTAATCAGATGTTTTGACATATTGAACAGCAGATACACAATTGTAACAATGCCTGCTGCTTGGTATTTTGATATCTATTCTTTCTACTACTTTGTGGTAAATTTGCTATACATGTATTAAAAAACTTGTTAAAATAAGTAATGTCTAGTTAGAGGAAAAAAAAAAAAGATTTTTAATATCTTTTTTTTTTTTTTCTCCTTATGGAGGAAGGTGACACTAATAATGGTGGGTCTTGATAATGCTGGTAAAACTGCTACAGTCCGAGGAATTCAAGGAGGTAAGCAATTAATTTGTTTATCATTTAAATTGAACATTGAAAGAGAGGGTATAATTACTAATTTCCATCATTTTAATCTAAAGATATTGTTTAATCTCTTAATTTATTTCTCCCTCCTATATTGTTGAAAGAAAATGTTGATGACTGTACTAAGAGTGTGGTTGCCAAAATGAGCATGTCACAGGCCCCATTGTGTGAAGACCTGCAGATGAGAGAAAAATTAAAGGGTTTCTCCTTTGAAATGTAAAGATCCTGATTTTTTTACATCTGGCAAGTCATACGAGGGTGACTTAAAAAGTAGGTGCTCCCAGTCATGTGCTTTATGCTTAGGAGAAGGAGCAGAGCAAGCTCTATGTAGCTCATTGGCCACCACACTTAACACCATGTTGAGCTCACATAGACCACATCAGTAGTAGTTCAACAAAGATGCTACCGTTCTGCTACGTCTTTTTCAGAGGTAATGTATGGTGTAGAGATAAGGCAGGTATGGAGAGAGCTGCCTCTTGAGACATTGTACCATGGAGCATTAGAGCCTTTAGTCCACTGAGACAGAAAAAGTTAGTCCATAGAGGTGGAACTCCATATCTTGGAAACACTAAGACCCAGTGTTCAGATTACCTTGGTGCTTACGTTCCTTGAGTTGACCACCACATTGTTAACTGTGCAAAATGCTAAATTGCAACAAAATCTGTTCTGGGTTCTTCTTTTTGGACGAGAGGAAGGTTTTTTTCAGTAGTTCAATAAATAACTGAAAGAACATTGTAACTACAAGCAGGCTGTCTGTCTCCGTCAGTTGCTTTAAGTGAAAAAAAAAGTGTAGGACAAAAATTCTGAAGGCTGTAGACCACATTCTAATTAATAATTATTTGGAATTAATGCAATGATATCAAATATTCTGGTTAATGATGTATTTCACATCTTAGTAGACATTAGAGAAATCAATGGATCTGTTTTTTTTTTCTCCTTTGTGTGCAAGGTGACCATCCAGTAACATGCAAACATCAGTAAACTTTATATAAAAATCAATGTTGTAAATATGGAAAATGAGGAAAAGCTTCAAGAGAAGGGAATTGCATGTGTATGTATATAACATAAAGGATGGTTCTGGTGATATATGTTATATGTATTTATTTATCACCAGAAAACCACTAGCAGTTTTCTAGGCACTTACTTCAGCAAGAGACCACTTGATTTTGGAGGGTGCTTTGCACCATCCAGTGACACATGCAAGCAGGATATAATTTGAGATAAAACTTGTGCTTATGAAAACAAAAATTCTCTGTTTTATTTTCCCCTCTTGTGGGATTATCTTTCTAAATAACTTTCATCTTGTGTAATAACAAGAGTGTACTTAGTAGTGTTTTGGCAGACTTGGAGACTCCACCTCGACTTTCTGTTTACGCACGTTATGTAAGTTCATGGGCTTGCTAAAGTGTGAATAAAGTTATGAATATTCTCTCATTTATAGTCCCGAATCTTTGCCCTGAAAACATCAGTGATTTGTTATTTAGCCTTCCATTCTGTTTCAAATTCAACTTTAATGCCTTTATCAGCTAAATGGGACAGTTGTTTCTAAAAGCCCTTTTTTACAGAGGGGAAAAAAAATGGGATAAAGATGGGTTTTTCTAAAGTGAAACACCAGAAGAAGATAGTTCTGACTTCTGTGACTGTTTGCCAGGGCTGAAATACTGTTTGTCTTAGAAAGCTTTTTTTTTTTTCTTTCAGTTAGTCTTCAGGGTTGTTAAAACCAGTATTTTTGGCAGTGCACCAGTCATACAGCCTATAGAAGGAGACTGCAGTTATGATTGCTCAGTTTTAGGAAAAAAACAAATATATTTCAGTTCTTGGGACTCTTGAACCTGGGTAAATCAGCCTGGTCACCAGTGATATTTGCCAAAATGGATCTGCAGCTTATATGGCAGACCCTGTTTTTACATGGAAGGCTTTATTTTTGGAGACCTTGGCCTACAATAGGAGCAGATGTTTCAGGAACATCCCCTTACATTGAGCACCATCAATAACTTTCACCTTTAACCAACCCTCATGTTCACGTTGCTCTCTTTTGTAAGAACATACTTATAGTTCACAGTGCAAAGCATTCTTCAAAATAAAGCCTGCTGAGTTTTGAAGATATAGTTTTTGACAAATGGGGGTCCTGGACCCTTTTCTTGCTGGAGTTTTGGCTCACACTGGTCTGGCCAAGTGGTCTGTTCTGAATCCCCATCTCGGCTGTGTGTGAAGGATTCTCTCAAAAAAGGGATCATAGAATCAGAGACTGGTTTGGGTTGGAAGGGACCTTAAAAATCATCCAGTTCCAAGCCCCCTGCCATCAGCAGGGACACCTTCCACTAGACCAGGTTACTCAAAGCCTCATCCAACCTGGCCTTCAACACTTCCAGGGAGGAGCATCCACAACTGCCTTGGGCAACCTGTTCCAGTGTCTGACCACCGTCACAGTGAAGAACTTCTTCCTAATATCTAATCTAAACCTCCCCTCTTTCAGCTTAAACCCATTTCCCCTTGTTCTGTCATTAACTGCCCTTATGAAGAGTCCTTCCCCAGCTTTCTTGTAGGCCCCCTTCAGGTACTGGGAGGCCACTATAAGATCTCCCCGGAGCCTTCTCTTCTCCAGGCGAAACATCCCCAAATGTCTCAGCCTGTCCTCATAGAAGATGTGCTCCAGCCCTCAGATCATCCTCGTGGCCTCCTCTGGACTTGTTCGAGCTGCTCCATGTCTCTCTTGTGATGGGAGCTCCAGAGTGTAGTAGTGGAAGGCTGATGGTGATTTAGCTTCTGCACAGCTCTTCAGAGCTCAATGCTTTTGACCATGCTTTCATTTCTTCCTCTCAACAAGCTGAATTTGACATCTGTTTCTCCTGCCTTGTGCTACCAAAGCTGCATAAAACAGTTGCAGAGATCCAATTAACTCATGCCTGCAGAGACAGCTTAGTGGTGCGAGGCAAGTACAGGCTTTCTTTGCCCTCCAGAAAGGGAGAAGACAGCAAGGAAAAGTGTTAAATATAAAGGTGTAGGGTTTTTAGTATATTGCATGGCAAACTAAAAAAAAAACCCAAAAAAACCCAACAAAAAAAAACAAACAAACAAACAAAAAAAAAAACAGAAAATAAAAATAAACAAACAAAGGCCAAAACCTGATCTTGAATCAAGGGAATCAAGTCGTTTACATCTTAGAAGAATGCGGTTTCAGTCACTTCATCTCAGCCTTTGGTTTGAACTTTTGAAGCTATTTTGGTAACCATGAGGGATAAAGAATAAATTTGGCAGAGCACAAGGCTTCCCAGGTCATAATGTATTAACTGTTTTGTTTGTTTTCCTTCTCAAATGGAGATTAATACTTTGTAAATGCTAGATGACTGTTCAGATGGAAGCATTGGTGGTGAGGGGGAAAGAACTGCAGTATGCTGAACACTATTGCAGTTCAACTGTGGTGTTAAATATTAATTGCATTTTTTTGGCTCTTTTTTTTTAATTTTCTTTTTTTTCCCCCTGGTGCCCTTATCTAAAAGTGCTCCTATCTAAATTAATGTAAAGCAACTGATGAGAGACTAATGGGTTAATTTGAAATTACCTAAAGGAGAAGGAAAATATTAATGTAAAAAGTATGTGATTAGTGACACGCTGTCACTTAACAGGGAGGGTTTGCTCCATGTTTTTAAAATCTGAATTTTCCTACACAAATCACAATGCAAAATCTTTAAATAACTAAAGGCACTTTTAACTGAAGGCTCTCTTCTTTTAACTCTGACAGAGTCTCCTGAAGATGTGGCTCCAACAGTTGGGTTTTCCAAGATTGACGTTAAACAGGGACGCTTTGAAGTCACCATCTTTGATTTAGGAGGTGGAAAACGAATTCGAAATATCTGGAGAAATTACTATGCCGAGTCCTATGGTGTCATATTTGTTGTGGATTCCAGTGACGTTGCAAGAATGGAAGAAACAAAGCAAGCCATGACAGAAGTTTTAAACAACCCTAAGATATCAGGAAAACCCGTGTTAGTGTAAGTAATGTTAATGAATATTTTCTTAATCTGAAATTTTGTAAATTTTGACCTTCAATATACCTTCTAAAGAAGTATTTATGTGTAGTATAAACATAAGTATAAGGTACACTAATACTGCTGTAACTAAGCAATATTGCAATTAGTTTTACAATATTTCTGAAGTATTTATTTATACCAATCTAAGTATCATACTAGTGAACAAAGCCTTTTTTCTCTCTCTCTCTCTCCCCCTCTCTTGTTGTATGTGGGTTTTGTTTTTTTAACTCTTTAAAATTCTAATATTACTCCAAATGGTATAATAGGTTAAAGGTTTTGCAAGTTTGACATGGCAATATGGTATAAATATATTGCTACCATTTAGGCCTACATCATTTACTTAAATTATAAATGGTTGATTATATTCTGCAATAACAGTAATCTCTAAGCAATAAATGTCTTGTTCACTTAACACATGGTGGTGCTGCTGATACATGATCAACAAAATCTCATTAAAGCAGGCTTACTTTAATAGTATTTGGCATGTGCTTTTGTTTCAGTGCATGTGTTTTAATTAAATAAAAAAAAAAAGTTAAAGTTTCAAGAGGTCCAGAGACGTTCTTTCAAAGAACAGATAGATTGATTTACTTCCCTGCTTAAAAACTAGGTTATGTAAAGTATTGGAAATAACATTTTATTAAATTCTTTGAAAACAAATACCCTTTTGCATTTACAAAATAAACTGTGAAAGTATAAAATGGTTTATCTTGGGACAATATGTTTGTTTGGTGGGTATAAGACCTCCATAATGCAATAATTACACAACATGCAGTGATATCACAAAGGATCTGTAAAGCTAAAAGGAGAAGCCTCTTACTTTTAATGAGCAGTGATACTCTTTGACAGTGAAACTGGCTAATCTGTTTGGATCAAGTGGAGTGTAGTTCAGCAAGTTGATAGTGTATATGTTGAAAAATAGATTAGATTTTAACTTCCATTGCTATCTGAATGTTAGTAGTACAGGGGAGACAACAAAACCAACTTAATGCAGCTAGTTTAACTCAAATCTGTTCTGAAAATGCAACTGTGACGGTTGACAACTGTGCAGTGTTTCTAAATAAGTACAGCTTTAGTTTATTTTCATTGAAATCTCTATGCCCTAATCCTGTAATAGAGTTTATTTGGGTGGCTGGCTGTACCTGCAGAGAGGCCACTCACTTCCCTGGGACTTCATCCTGCTTTTCAATCCATGTTAGTAGCTAATCAGAAGGCAGAGTCTGTTAACTGTGTCTAATGGTGACTGAATTAAGTTTGTTGATGTTATTTCCTTTTAATTGATTGAGCCTCAAGCCTTTGAACAGAATTTGCTCTTGCAGTGTCTTGGTTCTGTGGAGGGATCCAGTAGTTCTTTGTTTTATGCTCCCTATATGAGCCTACATCTTGAGTTACAAGTTTTTTTCTGTATTGTCTTTGTTTTCTGTTTGGTGTCTGTGTTTGTGGCATAGCTGTGCTACTCTTGGCATGTTCAAATCATGTAAACCCTAGAATTTATCCCAGTATATGAAGCATTTTTTATATTGTGAAGCCTGGAAGTTGTGAAGCAGGAAGGCTTGGTCACTAAGAACTAGTGCTTGTGGTATGGCAGTGAAGTGCTTAGCAAATGAGATTAAACTGGTCCCCTGCACCTTCCCTGAAGATGCCTTTGGTTGGAGATGCAAATCCCTGTCACTCATAGTTGCCAAATAAGAGTTCTGTGGCATAAACTCTTTTCCCTTAAGTCCCAGAAAACGAAAATGCATGCAGAGCAGAATAAAGGAAGCAGCAGATTTCCAAATTTGTGGCGAAAGTTAACTTTTTTCTAACATTTCCCTCTGCTAAGGATGTCAGTCTTTGTTGGTTTTTTTGTTTTTGCTTTTAATAATGAGATACTTGGTATCCAAGCAGCAAAAAGTTCCCTAATATCTTGCTAGGTTTCTAATTAGTGCATTTTAGTCTGTGCATGTATGTGTGAAGGCCAGTATTTACTGAAAACAATAGTGACCTCTGAGTATTAAATCCGGGAAAGTTGAAGTTTACTTTAAGTAATTCCCTTCTCTTTCATGCTCTTGCAGTGCAGAGTACAATCTATTTCTCTTTTCACAGAATACTGTTAGAATTTCATGCCAGAGGAGAGAGACTCCTTCTCTGTGATTTGCACACTCCACAAGGGTGTCTTTGTGGTCTGGACTACTGCTTTGTTCCTCCTGTGCTTGAAATAAACAAGGGTACATGGGTGCCACTGCTACTCTGGCACTGTCCACAAACAGTGTAGTTAAAATTTATCACCCAAATGAACAACTAAGTTAATGTGTGTATTTGGAAGAAGAGTGGGAGGAGAGGTGGGAGGATAATGTTGAATATGTTGTCTGTGTGTGATGTGTGTAATAAAAGTGTTTTAATCATAATGTATAGGAAACTGTGCAAATGAGGCCCTCGGTTCTTTCATGAAGTATGTGGCAGATTTTATCCACAACAAATACTTTAAAATCTTTCCAGTAGAAGAGTAGGCCATTGAAAAATGTGTAGTTTATTCTGGAAAAAAATAACTTTTGTCTTCAAGTTAAAAATCTGAGGTTTTTAAAATGCTAGCTTTTCCCAGTAAATATACTGTTATTTCTTTGAGGAACGGAACATTTCCCCAGAATATTTTTCCTATTTTGTTTTACATCTGCTAAAACAAGCAACGGTACCTTCAGAAAAGGACTGGGAATTAATGTCAATTTACCCCATTGCATGCCTTCTTAGATGTCTTTTGCTTGTAATCAACTTTATATACTGTGAGCAGTGCCAGCAAGATATGTCATGGGTGGATGGGTCTCATTTCACAGTGAACCAGATCCATTACTAAAGAGCTTGAGGTGCAGTTTTCATTACAGAGCAAAGCAGAGTTGGAGTCACTTGCCCACTCTTCCTTTTGTCATCTTTTTTTCCATCCCAGTCTTATTTTATTATCAGAAAAGGAGCATTTACATAGCTTCATATTATGTAAGCAAATACTGGTTTTGTCTGGGTTGGGTTTTTTGTTTGTTTGTTTGTTTTGGGGGGTTTTTTCTTTTGATTTGTTTTTTTCTAGAGGGTGGGTTTACTTTGACATGAAACATGCAAAAGGAAATACAATTCCATGTGCTATGGCTGTTATTTTTATATTGGAGAAATTGCTGGATAGCTATTTTTTTAGTCAAAAGCTACTTTCTACATGTTATTTTGGTGATGAGGGGTTATACCTATTCATATTTCACATTTCTTGTTAGAATACTAGCAGCTCTGCTTTAATTTGTTTGCTCTTCCGCAAAAATATGTGACTAAAAAAAAAAGACAGTTATTTTAGTGATGACTTCAGCCTGCATAATTTCTGCTGTTAATAATTTTGAATACTCAATATCAAATTCTCACCATGTCAGTGTAAGTTGTAGTTAATACTAATAGCTTTCAGTTAATAGCACCTGTATGAAGAAAAAGCTTTCCACAAGTCTTTTCTGTTTCTTTCTCTCCTCAGTTCTTCTGCAGCATGTTATGTATGTTCCTGTTTTGCCATTTTCTAACCGATATACATCTGAAAACTACTTGAATTATTTACGTGCATATGGATAGGCAGCTCAGCTGTCTTCCTGAGTATTACTGAATCTTGAGTTTTCTTCCAGAATTTACAGTACAGCTCTTGTTTAACCAGACTGCATTTACTTCAAAGAAACATCTCTAGTGTGAAGAGAAAGGGCTTGCCCAGGAACACATTTCTCTCTCAGATATGGGTACTGATGTGAACCCTCCTGCATGGGGGAAGCTGTGTAAGCAGGTGGTGCTTGCTATGTTTTAGTTTTCTCTTCTGTCAACGCTGGCTGCAGTAATCCTTCACAGAAGTACCATAATGCATTTCTCTTTAAGGGCCCAGGAGAGAAGGAAAAGGCTATCAGTTAGGTACCTTTGTTTTTTCTAAAAGTAAAAACAGGAAAAAAAGATGGGGTGTTTCTGTGTGTATTACATACATTTATATACATACACACATGAAAGAGCATGTTGGCCATAGCAACTGTTTTCTCTGTCTTGCTTACTGGCTAGTTTCTACTCTGCCCTTGGAACATAAAAGTAGCTTCCATATATGTAACATGCAAGGGAGATTATTTAATCAAATAGTATCGGTGTCATTATATAATTTTGTTTTTTGCCACTGCTGTGTAAATAATCTTTTCACTTTAAGGTTCAGACCTCTGATTGTACTTTGATAACAGTTAATTTCAGTCACAATTTTAAGCTGGGATGGAAAGAATTCAACTATTTATAAGTATTGCAATATGAAAATAATTCAGTAGTGCCTTTTGATAGTAGATTGTTTTGAGGTTTTGGGGTTTTTTTTGTTTGTTTGTTTTCCACTAGGTACAATTAAAGACATCTAGCTCACTTAGTGTCTTGCAGAATTGCGATGCAATTTGCTCTGTCTTCTCCGATTGTATCCAGATATAGTGGTTATTGATTGTGTCTTTGCACAGCTTAAAGGAGTTCAGAAATACATTCCTAGTTTGGTGTTTGGTTTAGTCATTGTTTGGGGGTTTTTTTGTTTTGGAAATAACTTTTTTGTCTCAGTTGCATTGATATTTTCTGTTAAATTGCATTAGAGCAGTATTTCTCATTCAGTTCCAAGAGGGGTTAGGTACAGGGCAGAAACCAACCATTGGGACTACGGAAAGCAAAAGCACTCCTCATCTGCTTGCTTCTCTTCACTGCAGAAATAACTGCTGCTGCAAAATAAAGCAGGGGTATGCTTCCTGTCTTGCTAATTCAGCTGTTTCATAAAGACCATCTAAAGTATCTTTAGGGACAGGTTGAGTCTCAGTGGCTAGCTGCTCTGTTTTCGGTACTCAGGGAGGTATTCAGGTTTACTACTTTAGGCATCTGTTTGGCAATATCTACATGAGGATCCTGGGCTTGTACATTTAGCAGAATTTCATGGAACCATTTAGAGTTCTGGAAACTCTCAACTAGTTCTT